TGTGTGTGTGTGTGTGTGTGTGTTCACTTTGTGTGTGTGTGTGTGTGTACACATTTTTGTTGTAATATAGAATCTTATAGTTTTCATATTTTATTTATTATTACATGTTTATATTTTTGTTATGTTATATACATTTGTATATCGTATATCATATTGTATTATATTCTTATATGCAATTTTTATTTTTGTATTTTTATATAATTTTTTATAATATTATATTCATATAATAATATTTTATAATATTTTTCTTATGCAATATTATAAAATCATATTTTATTTATTATTACATGTTTATATTTGGTTATATTATATACATTTGCATATCGTATTGGGTTATATTCTAATATGCTATTTTTATTTTTATATAGTATTAATACATTCTTATATTGCATTATATTTATATTTTTATATGCCTAAACAGAATATTTTCATTAGTATTGTACGTAATGGCATCGTTTTCCAGAAACAGATGCCTGATGTGGGATGTTTTTCTGCATATTCTGCAGGGTGTTGGGTTTCTTGTCCCGCTAGAAGCTCGTTTTACCCCAGTAGTGCGTTTTCGCTCATCTTACGCTGTATACTGTATACACACACATGCTGTGACAGAGACACACATCAGTGCTGAACTCAGACAATCACTTCACAAGATTAATCCATCTGTGAACGTTTGATCTGATGCCATCTGTTGTGATGATGATGGTGATGATGATGATGATGGTAGTGGTGGTGATGATGATGATGATGATGATGTCTCATCAGGCTCCAGAGCAGGACGAGGTGCTGCAGTCTGTTGATCAAGCCATTGAAGCCATTCACAATGTGGCCATGACCAACGGAGGCAAATACAACCTGGAGCAGAGAGACATCCTGCAGTGAGTCCAATACATTATATTTATAATGTTTTATATTACACATCTATGTTTTATTATTTCGTTAAATGTGTTATATTCTATAATAATATATTCTTATAATATATAACGTTTATATTTTTATATATCAATAAAGAATAATAATAAATATTATATTAAATATTATATAGCATTTATAATTTTATATATATGTGACTCTCCACAGGAAGTTGATCCACCACAGGAAGGAGACTCTGTCCCGCAGAAGCCCGACTCCATCCGGTCACAAGCAGAAGATCCCATCCTCCTCCAGCGAGGTGTCACTGAGCCACGCGCCGCAGCCTCCCAACGGCCTGAGCCGAGCCTACAGCTGCCAGGGCAGCGAGCCGATGTCCGAGCGTCCCGCTAGCGTTCCTGGACTCTATCAGGTACAGCAGACGCCTGTGCTCTGATGACCCCCGTCAGTGTGTTTGTGCTGATCATGTGTTTCTGCCGCAGGTTCCTCAGCCTCGCAGAGCGGCGCCCGTGACTCCGCCTCCTCCGGAGAAACACCGCGAGTTACGACGCAACGGTGGGTGCGGGAAAAACACAGTCGACATGCTCGCGTTACGCTGCACACGAGTGAGTGAACGTGTCTCTCTCTCTCTACAGATCCAGAGGTGCCACTGAGAGTTTCCTCCACAAGCCCTGCCCCCAGGCCTGTCCCTCCCACTGGGCCCTCTCTGTCTGTAAGCTCCGCCTCCTTAGACTCCAGCTCCTCCCACTCTGGCGTTTCCTCAGATGTCAGTCTTCCCAGCATCAGCAGCACTCCGCCCCCTGTGCCAAAACGAGGCAAAGCTCCGCCCCCTCCTCTGCCTGACCGATCCCCTCAGGAAGAGCCTTCTAAAAAGAGTTCACAGGCTCCTCCCCCTCCCGTGCCTGACCAGTCCCCTTCTCCAGACCCTTCGAAGAAGAAGCCGGTGCCTCAGCCAATCAGTCAACAGCCTGCTGCCGAACACCAATCGGACGTGGAGTGGCCGCTGGGCCCGCCCCCTGCTTCTCTCAGCGCTCCTAGTAGCCCCACCCAGTCTGCAGCCATTCCCGTGACCATCGGAGCGGAAATGATTGAACTGGTGCGCAAGAACACGGGCCTTAGTTACGAGTTGTCGCGGGTTGCCGTGGGTGTGGTGGTGGGTCACCTGCAGAGTGCGTTGCCGAGGGCGACGGCGGACCTGGAGCAGGTGCTGCTGTCGCTGGTGGAGAGTAAGGTTAGTTGCTGAAGGACTAGTTGAGACGTTCTGTCGTTGGCTCAGCTGTTGAAGCGGTTGTCTGGTTTGTGTCGTTAGGATCTGGGCGTGGCGCTGCCGCTTGGCCGGGTGTGTCACGACGAGCAGCGGCTGCAGGTGATCTTTAGCGATCTGGCGCGACACCGTGATGACTCGCAGCAGCGCAGCTGGGCTCTGTATGAAGATCACGCACTCATCGCATGTTACCTGGAGGAGTTACTGCAGATACTGGTGAGACATACTCATATAACATTATATCTACATATTAAATATGTCATGTTTATATAATTATGTGTGCATTTCTTTCAGACTGACGCGGATCCTGAGGTGTGTAAGAAGATGTGTCGCGTGAACGAGTATGAGGCGGTTCTGTCGCTGGTGTCGTATTATCAGATGGTGAGTCGCTCTGCTGATAACACCAAGAACGAGAACTATAGCGATAAATGTGATAATAAATATTCTTGTAGTGTTAACGATAATGCTAACAATATCTGTAACAATAGTAATGATAATTGTAGTGATTACTATAATGAATACCATACCTATAACTGTAATGAGAATTCTTAACGGTAACTATAACGATAATTGTAACTATCATTATAATTATTATTGTAGTTAGTTGTCATTATAGTTGACGTTATAACTATACTCATAACCATAACTATAATGATAATTGTAAAAAATAACTAGAAGAATAATGATAACTGCTATGGTAACTATAATAATAATTATAACTGTAATGATAACAATAACGATAACTGTAACAATAGCTATAATGATAACCATAACTATAACGATATCTTTAACAATAACTATAACGATTTCTTTAACGATCACTATAATGTTAACCATAATTTAACGGTAGCTATGATAATTATAACTAAAATGATAACTACAAGTATAAATATAACGACAACTATATCCGTGTCCACACCAATGAACGATAACATTCTGTTTATTATAAGCACTCTGCAGATTTGTTGTCTGTCGCTTTAAATGCTTGAGCTCTTTAAAGCAGGGGAGATTCTGGTTGGCTGTCAATGTTTTTATCGTTCATCAGCTGGAAAAAAATAACGTTCCCCTGTGCTGTTATCGTTATAGTTGTGGTGTGGTGTGGACTTCACTATTCACTACTAGAGTGAAGATTAAAATGTTATTGTTATAGATATTATTGTTCTAATTAACGTTATAGTTATTGTTACTGTTATAGTTATTGTTACTGTTATAGTTATTGTTGTAGTTATTCTTATAGTTATTATTACTGTTATTGTTATAGTTATTGTTGTTGTATTTATAGTTATTATTATATTTATTGTTACTGTTATAGTTATTGTTACTGTTATAGTTATTGTTGTATTTACAGTTATTATATTTATTGTTACTGTTATAGTTATTGTTACTGTTATAGTTATTGTTGTATTTACAGTTATTATATTTATTGTTACTGTTATAGTTATTGTTACTGTTATAGTTATTGTTGTATTTACAGTTATTATATTTATTGTTACTGTTATAGTTATTGTTACTGTTATAGTTATTGTTGTATTTACAGTTATTATATTTATTGTTACTGTTATAGTTATTGTTACTGTTATAGTTATTGTTGTATTTACAGTTATTATATTTATTGTTACTGTTATAGTTATTGTTACTGTTATAGTTATTGTTGTATTTACAGTTATTATATTTATTGTTACTGTTATAGTTATTGTTACTGTTATAGTTATTGTTGTATTTACAGTTATTATATTTATTGTTACTGTTATAGTTATCATTATCGTTATAGTTATTCTTACTGTTATAGTTATTGTTACTGTTATAATTATTATTATATTTATTGTTACTGTTATAGTTATTGTTGTAGTTATTTTTATAGTTATTACTGTTATTATTATAGTTATTGTTACTGTTATAGTTATTGTTACTGATATAGTTATTGTTGTAGTTATAGTTATAGTTATTATAGTTATTTTTATGGTTATTGTTGTATTTACGGTTATTATATTGTTACTGTTATAGTTGTCGTTATATTTATTGTTACTGTTATAGTTATTGTTGTATTTACAGTTATTATTATATTTATTGTTGTAGTTATTCTTATAGTTATTATTACTGTTATTGTTATAGTTATTGTTACTGTTATAGTTATTGTTACTGATATAGTTATTGTTGTAGTTATAGTTATAGTTATTATAGTTATTTTTATGGTTATTGTTGTATTTACGGTTATTATATTGTTACTGTTATAGTTGTCGTTATATTTATTGTTACTGTTATAGTTATTGTTGTAGTTATTGTTACCGTTATAGTTAACGTTATCGTTATAGTCATTGTTATGTTATTCTTACTGTTATAGTTATTGTTGTAGTTATTGTTACTGTTATAGGTATTGTATTTACAGTTATTATTATATTTATTGTTGCTGTTATAGTTATGGTTACTGTTATCGTTATCGTTGTTATTATTATAGTTATTGTTATGGTTATTGTTACTGTTATAGTTATTGTTGTAGTTATTGTTACCGTTATCGTTATAGTCATTGTTATGTTATTGTTACTGTTATAGTTATTGTTGTAGTTATTGTTACCGTTATAGTTAACGTTATCGTTATAGTCATTGTTATGTTATTCTTACTGTTATAGTTATTGTTGTAGTTATTGTTACTGTTATAGGTATTGTATTTACAGTTATTATTATATTTATTGTTGCTGTTATAGTTATGGTTACTGTTATCGTTATCGTTGTTATTATTATAGTTATTGTTATGGTTATTGTTACTGTTATAGTTATCGTTATAGTTATCGTTATTATAGTTATTGTTATGGTTATTGTTACTGTTATAGTTATCGTTATAGTTATCGTTATTATAGTTATTGTTATGGTTATTGTTACTGTTATAGTTATCGTTATTATTATTGTTATGGTTATTGTTACTGTTATAGTTATCGTTATTAAACGTTACAGTTATGGTTATAGTTATTGTTGTTATAGTTATTGTTATCATTATAGTTATCATTGTAGTTATCGTTATAGTTGTGGTGTGGACTGCACTATTCTCTTGTGATTATTAAACGTTACAGTTATGGTTATAGTTATTGTTTGTAGTGTGAAGAGTAATTCCGGCGTGTGAATGTTCAGGAGCACCGCGTGTCGCTGCGGCTGCTGCTGCTGAAGGTGTTCGGGGCGATGTGCGGTCTGGACGCGGCGCTGATCTCCACCCTCCTGAACTCCGTCCTGACCATGGAGCTGGCGAGGGACCTGCAGACGGACACTCAGGGTGAGACGCACTCCGGCTCTGTGCTCATGCGTGTCTGCGCGGTCAGCTGACGTGTGTTTTGTGTGCAGAGCATGAGAAGATGTGCTACAGCGCGCTGCTGATGGCCATGATCTTCTGCAGGGGCGAGCAGATCCCGCTGCATCACTACGGTAAGAGAGACACACATGCTGTTAGACGCTCAGACGCTCCTGACGGGAGTTTGACGTGTCTGTCTGTCTGTCTGTCTGTCGTCTCAGAGCATCTGAACGCTGCTTTCCTGCAGTTCCTGCTGGACGTGATTGAGGACGGCTTGCCCTCCGACTCCACAGAGCAGCTGCCGGACCTCTTCATCAACCTGCTGCTGGCCTTCAACCTGCACCTCAGCGGTACCACACACAACACAGAACCGCTCCTGTTACAGCCAATCGATGTCTTGTTCTTGTTTTGTTTTTTATTGACTTGCATTTGTGTGTTTGCTGCCCCCTGCAGTACCGGAGAGTAACATCGTGATGCAGGCACTGATCAAGACACACAATGTGAAGATTCTCACTGAGAAACTCTTATTACTGCTCAACAGAGGAGGTGACACACACTAACCCTAAGTCACCTTCTCCTTGTAATACCTGTCATACCTTTGTCATTATACATATTTATGTCCTAATTTGTCACAAAAACGCGCGCACACACACACACACACTCTCTCTCACACACACACACACACACACAGGTTTGGTTTTGTGAAAAGTGGGGACATCCCATAGGCGTAATGGTTTTTATACTGTACAAACCG